AATCCAGAGGGTGTTCTGCTGCTCTGAGTTCTGTGCGGTGTCTTTGTGTGCCTTTCCCCAGTGTCACATACTAAACCCCACAGGCTCCTTTTCTCCTGAAGTTCTGGGATCAGTATCCTCTCACGGGCTGTGCATTCAGGACCACTCCCTTCAAACCGCAGACCTGCAGGGGTCCCAGTGTGCCCCTCCAGCCCTCTGGGGAGCTCCCAGGGCCTGCTGCCTTCCCACCCTTCTCAGGACCGGCAGGCAGTTTCTGCTGTACGCTGGGCAGGTCTGAAGACTCGGTGGCCCTCATTTTCCAAATGACGGATTATAATATAGAATTGTGCAGGGTCAAAACTGTCCCACCAAAGTGCCAAGTACAAGAACACACTGAACATGACAAAGTTCAAAAATTCATTTTCAGATTCTATGCGAAAATGAACCTTATATAATCTATCACTTTGTTTCGTCGGCTTTTTCACTGCTGTGACTAAAAGACCCGACCAGAATAACTGGAGAGAAGGAAAAGTTTATTTGAGGACTCAGTCTATAGAGAGAGAGCAAGCTCCATTCCTCTGGGCTCGAGGTGAGGCAGAACATCATGGTGGAATTGTGTGGCAGAGGGAGTTGGCTCACATGATGATCAGAAGGAGAGAGAGAGAGAGAGAGGAGAGAGAGAGAGAGACTCCACTCATCAGACACAAAATATATACCCCAAAGGCACGTCCCCAGTGCCCACCCCTCTAGCTACACCCTACCCGCCTTCAGCTACCACTCCCTTAATCCTGTCAGATTTGTTTTTTCATGAAAATATCACCACCAACATCCAATGGGTATATTATTGCTCTTTTTAAATAAATCTACAAGTATACGTTTTTCTAATTTCTCACTTTTAACTTCTGGTACGATGAGCATCAATAGCTAGAACCAGAACAGAATGAAGCAGCACGTAATGCACAACAGCTCACTGTCCTCAAGCCCTTCAGGTGCGTCAGGGATCCTGAGGTCACAGCATGAGAACCACTGGCTCAGACTGCGCTGGAACACCGAGCAGACGTCCTGCAGACCAGAGGCACCCAGGGGCCACCTGGAGGCAGACACCGGGCTTCACTCCAGTTTCCAGGCCACACTATGGACCTGGAACAACACACTCAACACTCCTGAATCTAGGTTTACTCATTACTTATTTATTTCTGTGTGGGATGGGAATAGTATCTTTTTCAAGATAGTTAAGATGCAATGGGATGACACTTGGACGCACCGGCACAACTAGGAGGCTCCACTGCTGTTCCTGACATCGGCCACCTGTGCTCTGAGGCTCTAGGCACCATGTCGACATCTGTGTGACCAGCCGTAAGGAAAGCCAAATCTCTGGGTGCATGCTGGGAACAGGATGGGGAAAGGGCTGATTCTTCTGAGCTTGCCCAACCTTGCAGGCAGCCCAGGTTCATCTTTTTGGGGGGCCCGGAATCCCAGACAGTAGCTTGGTGGAAAATACCGGTCCTACTTCAATTCCACAGGCCAAAGGCTGACTTAGCACCGACCAGATACCATGCACTGCGCACTGCGTAAGGCCCAGAGGCACCCCATGAACAGGACTGTGCAAAGATGTGGGAGGTGAGGCAGCGGCACACGGGTCCCAGGGAGGCTTGACCTTCAGACAGGCACAACACCTGTGGAGTGGAGCGTAGGCAGGGACCCCAAAGGCCCTCAGCATGGGGTCAGGTGGTGCCAGAGAGAGGCACGGGCGTTGCTAGGGGTGGAGAGAGGGTCCCACTATAAGCACAGCATGAGGAGCTAGGGGTGGTGGCGAGGACAGAGAGGAGACCACGCCTTGGAGTAAGATGAGGGAGGGAAGAGAGAAGGAGCCCGCGGCTGGGAAGGCTGGGTGGGCACCGCCAGCTCCTGCCCCTTGTCATCACGGTCAACAGCTTTCTCACAGCATCACCAGCTGGAGGGGAAACTCAGGAGCCTGTGCGCTTGGCTTGGCAGGAAGCCCAGACCTACCCTAGAATCTCTGTGGTAACAGGCCCAGAAGAAGCTGTCCAAAGTGTACTGGCAGCTGAAACTCAGCTGTTCTGCCCTTCTTTGGACTGGAAGATGGACAGCTGCCATTTGGGGCTACTCCAAGTCTCTATGCCTGATGACGCAGCCTGTGGACACAGGCACGGCTCTCAGGGGAGTCTGCCAGGCCAGCGGCCTAAGCTGTGTGCTGAAGCATCTAGTCTTGACCCCACAACCTGCAAGTCTCCTGAAGGTGCTGAGGTATCTGTGAAGAAAATCCATGGTGACTCTGAGGCTTTCATTTGGAAAATGTCATCTGCAGAAGCCAAGTACTGGGTCATGCCCTCAGCTGTGGAATCTACCTGGCAATGGATGAGTGACATTTGGAGGAGCACAAACATTTTTGGACTATTTGACTTCTTGCTACTGGAGTTGTCTTGTACCCTGCTGCTCCAAAGGTTCTTGTGGGCTTTCTCCACCACAGTGTTGCTCATGGCCGGTGTGGTGGGACTAGGAGCTTAATCCACACAGGACTGAAGCAGAATTCAAGGTGGGCCTGGAAGAGGCTGTTGCCTATGGGATGACTCATCTGTGGGGAGGATGGCACCCAATTGTCATGAACCTGACTGTCACAGAAGTGAGGGCACAACTCCAAGAGGAGGCTGAACATCTGTCGTCCATTTAGAGAACAGTAAAGACGTTTGGGCCAAGAGCAGGATGTCAACCAGCACCGCAGTATACCAGGTCACAGGTGTGGCTGCACCTGCAGGCAGAGCAGCGGAGCTCTCCAGTCACCCACTGTCACATTTAGGCAAACGATGTACACAGGGTCCCTTAGTAACCCAAGGCCACTTGCCTGACCCTGCTTCAGTGTCCCAGGTCCAGGAGCCACACTTCATGGCTCCTTTCATGAAGCTGAATCCACATTGAGAAGTCACCAGGTCCTCAATGGACAAGGAAGGGTCTGTGCTTCCGTTGCTTCCCAGAGTCCGGGCGGTCCCAACTCTACTCCTCCTCCTTGTTTTCACACTCCTTCGAGCTGAGGACCTTCGCTGTTGGTTTGCACCTTGTCTGGGACACATCACGTGAAAAGACCCAAACAACCAGAACACCAACAGCACACGCCTGTCCTCTGCTGCTGCTGGCACTCTTCACGAGCCATCCTTGTGAGGCTCTGCAGAGGCGGAACAGGAAGCTGCAGGCAGGCCCAGACCTCCCTTTTGGCCCCTCAGCAGCTGGGTGGTCTGGGGCCAGCTGTTTAACTCTCTGAGCCTGGCTTCTGTAGACAAGGAATGAGGCCCACCTCGGAGGACAGAGAATGGCTGTGCTGATTGAGAGAACAACACTGGATGAAAACAGGAAGCCACGAACGGTCACTATTAGTAGAATTAATTCACAGGGCTGGGGATGGAACCCAGCCATTTCCATTTTCTTAAATTTTAAGACATTCTTGCTAAGTTGCCCAAGCTGGCCTTGAACTTGCAATTTCCCTGCCTCTTGAGTAACTGGAGGAGAGGGCAATGTTTCTTACAGGTTAATCCTTTGAAAAACAAAACAGAAAAGATCCTGACAATATGTGTAGGAGTCTGAAGGGGAGGAATTAAAAAACACCTCTGGAACTCGATGTGATATGTGGTTCCCATGTTGGGCTGCATTCAATATGGCAGAACTGCTACTGCCTTGACTGACCACAAATCCTCATTGCACAAGCCAAGGGCATACTGCTTGGACTCCATGGCCATCCAACACTAGCCCCATTTTCTTTCCTGCTGCCCTTTAAGGTATCTAAAAGCACCCCACTCTGGTGCTCAGCCTGCAGAGGCCTGCCCTGCCTGGGGTAGGGTCCCAGGGGATCTCAGTTCCATTGACTCTGGCTGGGAAACCTGTTTTTAAATCATTTCCTTCCCAAATTGACAGAGAACTGAAAATGCAACGGTGCATAAAAGGAGGAAATGTGCTGCTGTGGAGGCCACCCCCTCTGTGCCCTCCAAGGCGTCCCCCTCACCTGGAGCCACCTGAGCCCGACTCCTGAACCCTGCCTGTGCCTGCCGCCAGGCTGTGCTGATGCCTCTGGCTTCCTGCCTTCATTCTCCCTCTCGGCTTTGACAGCCCTCCCTGCACTGGTTTTCCTTAACAGCACAACTGGCCTCCCTCCCTGTCACTTCTCTCCACCTGTCCTCAACCTGCTCCCAGGGAGCCCTTCTACCGGCCCCAGGTGAAAACCTGAGATGCTGTCCAATGTTTTCAGGAGAAAGCACAGGGACCCAATCTCCAGAAGCTCACTCCTCCCCTGTGGAAGGTTCTGGAATCCTCTCCCAGGAACGTCGTTCTCTGTGGCCCAGGCTGCGTCAGGGTCTACTCCAAGGTGTCCCATGGGCCACCATTACAGACTGAACAAGGCAGGTCTTGGGCAAGGCTTCAGCTGGGGCACTCTTCTGGCCCCTCTGGGATGGGTGTAGAGTGGCAAGGGTTTGAATCAGAAGGACCTGGAGAGAGACTGGGGTCCCCTGTGGAGTGCAGAGACTTCTGGAAAGCCAGCCAAGGTGACAGCAGGCTCCTCGCAGGTCTCAGCACGAGGTGCCACGCGCCTGCGCATCTCCCAAGGCATCTCCCACTGTAGCCCTGCCCCTGTTCCCCTGCACGTCACCCTGTCCCCACAGCCTCCACCCCACCCCACCCTCCTCGCACCCATCCCGCCTCACCCACCCCATACCCCAAGCTCCACCCTTGTCCCCTCCGCACCCTCCTCGCACCCATCCCGCCCCACCCCATCTCCCACTTCCCGCACCCGCCCCACTGCATCCTCCTTACTCCATGCAGACCCACCCCGCATCCCCACGCCACCGCACCCGATTCCCGGCGCCAGCTCACCTCGTCCGCGCCTCCCGGCTCTGCGCGAGGGGGGAAGCTGGCGCCGCCGGGTCCCCGCCATGCGCTCCGGGCCTCCGCCCCTCCGCCGGCCACACCCTCCGCGGCGGCCCCGCCCCCGGCTACGCGCCGCGTCCTTCCCGACCGTCTGCCTCCCCGTCTTCCCTGGGCGCCCCTCCCCGGCCCCGTGCCGCACGCATGCTTCCTGCCTTTCCCGCGTCGGTCCCCCCGCGTCCCGTGGGGTGTCACTCTCTGCCCGCGGCGCCCCCACCCCCACCCCACGCCTCGGCTTCTCCACGCGTCCCGGGCGCAGCACGCAGGGCTTTCCCCTCTGGTCTGGGGGCATCCGCTACCCAGGCTTTGCACCACGGACCCAGGTGAGGCCTTCCCATGTGTCCACCCTGCCTCCAGGTCACCTGCCGGGACTTCCCATAGGGAAGTAGCCCAAGGGTGAGAGCTCCTGTGATTAGGGCTGCCGCTCACCCCGCTGCTTTGGGCCCTATGTGACCCTCTGGACCCGAGGCCTGTGCAGTGCGCTGGAAATCAGAGGTCACCCTGGCGCCTCCCTGAAGCCAGGGCTCTGCTTCTCACTGATGCCCTCAGCTCCTTTGTAGTCACTCGTTAAAAACCAAAATACTAAAAAAGCTAAGTCTTGGCTGAGCCTCTTTAAAAATTAATGTACGTATCATGGTGTTTCTGTGAAAATGCTCTTGGCTTTATTTCCTCCTGAAAGCAAACTGACCCAGGACTGATCACACGAACACCAAGAGCAAAGGCAAAAGCAGATTTATTGTCAGGAAACTGTCAGGCTGCCTCCCGAGGAAAAAGAGCAGCAGCAGCTCCTCCTGGATTGTTAGCTGTAATAAGTGAAATCAAGGCGTTGCCCTAGGGGTGGGGTAGCCCTTGTGATTGGCATAGTAAGCATCACCTGATATCGTGGAGCGCAAGTTCTTTCTTAAGAACAGTATTCATAAAGTGAGGGTGGGGGAAAGGAAGCGGTTGTAGTTATGCCAACACCTCCCATCCCCTCTGCCTCACTTCCTGTCCTTGTTACACAGTGGGGTTGGGAGCACTGGGCAGCAGTCTCTGCTGGCCTGCGGGATGGGAAGCAGGCTCTGCTCTGCCATTTGCACCCAGGGATTAGGATATGCTGAACAAACGCCTGGGAGCACAGCCGCCTTGGAGTGTTTTCCCTTTCACTGCAGTGATGATCCAAACCCAGAGTAGGAGAACCTTCAGGAGCTGGACAGAGGCCTGTGGAGAGCAGGCAGTGGCCTTCTGGGTGTCTTTCCATAAGGTATCAACAGTTTTCAGGCTGTGCCCAACCCAAGTCACTGAACTTGATAAAGCAGTAGTTTGCTACTCCATTCTGAGTGCCAGTGCTGGGGTGGAAGTCTCTGTGCCTTGTCGGTACAAGTGAACAGCCATCATCTGCTTGGCACAACCAGAAGGCACAAACGGATAAATTAATTGTGCTAATAGAAATGGCCACCTGTGAACTTCTCAAATTAAATCAGAAGCAAAGCTACATGGGCTTATCAACCCCATATCAGAAAAGCCAGGTTCATAAGGTCAGCAAACACACCAGACCTTCAAATGAAGCAGCGCCCTCACCTGAGACCCAGACAAGGAGGAGCACCTGAGGCTGCCTAGGTGGCACACACCAATCTGTCATGACAGCATCCGAACCACCTCACAGGATGGACAGGGGAGGAACCTCTGACTCTTGGTCCCCGGGTTTCAGCTCAGCCCCATCTCCCTGCTTTGGCCCACTTTGAAAATGCCTGCCAGCTGGACCCTGGCAGAGAATAAATTTCTTGCTGGGACATTCTGTTCCCTGACAAATTCTTTGGTTGGTTCATAATCCTGTCAGGCCACCTGCAGTGACTCTTTGGCATTTGTATCTGCCTTAGCCCTGTGGCCACCTTAACCTTTCCTTCTATAACCTATATGTATGTCCTATGTAGATACAGGTGTGTAAAACGTGTGACGTGACTGGAGTGGTTCAGGTGTTAGTAAAAGTACGCAGTGCGTTGCAGTGGTGAGGGTGATGTAGCTTGGGAATTGGTTGTTATTCAGTAAATTCTGACGAGGTAGAAAGACGAATGTTTGGTCCTGGTTAATAGAACAGCTGCTGTCCTGACGAGCCCCTGTTGGAGTCTGCCCTCCAGCCACCTAGCCGCATGCAGTGGGTGCTTCCACTCCCTTGGGCTTTGTATATGTTGTGTCTTTGAAGTTCTGGTCTTTGGGGACCTCAAAGTGGATTCCACTGGTACCAGCAATAAACCAATATTTGGGGTACAAATATTTTTTTTTTTCATAAACCAACGTTCTTGGTCCTGACTAGTGATTGTTGTTGAAGTTCAGGCCCCAGGGTACAGATCAGGCTCAGGAAGAGCGTTGGATACCATACCTCCCACTACCAGGCCACTGGCCTGGCGGGAAAGGCATGTGGCAGCTCAGGCTTTGACAGGAGAAAATGGTTTTGTGAAAGAAAAATGTTTAACTCCTCTCTTCTCATGGCTTGTTCTCACCTCACTGTGCAGAACCCAGGGACAGGTGCCTGATGGGAATGGCCACCTGGCTCCTTGCTATGCTGCATCACACCAGTCCCGCAGGAACCGGCCCTGTGTTGTTCTTACCATGGAAACATCTGGAGGTGATCAGAAAGGCTGCGCTTCCTCCTCCACCTGAATCAGAGGCAGCGGGTGGACACACACACATGCTTCTTTTTTTTAAAAGGGACAAGAAAAATCTAAGAATCTACTCAATTAAAATGTCTGCCTTTTTTCTGGGGAGAGAAACAAACAAGGCTTTGCTTTTTCATTGAATCTGGTCAGCCTGGTCCTTCTCTTCCCTCTCTTCCTCCCCTCCCTCCTTCAATGCCATGAGTGGTCAGGTGAATGACTGAACGAACACTTTACTTTGGGCCTGTGTCTTGAGACTCCAGTTGATAACCACAGCAACTCAGGGAGGTGGAATTGGAGTACCCTTTCTATAGCTGGGAAAGGCGGGATCTGAGAAGGGTTGTGAGGTGTTCAGGGTCTCACAAGTGCTGGGACTCAGACTGAGGGTGGCATGAGGGTCCCCACCATGGTGCGCCTTCTGGCCATTTCCACACTACATTAAAGTCTGTTCCCGTTATCTCCCACCTAAGAGCCTTGAGTTACTGCGTGCTAGAGCTCTGTAAGGCTCGTACCCTCCAGCTCCTAACATGGTGCTTACTGTGTAGCAAACTTTCAATGCATTTTGAAGGGAACAAATAAACTCTATGGAAAGCAATGGAATAACGTGAGGACCTCATTCGACTCCATCCCTCAGCTGTGTCACAGCATAATTGACAGTTGTATACAGTTAGAGTGTACAGTGCGATGTTTTGATATACCTTGTGAAATCACCGTGTCAAGCTCAGTAACATACCCATCACCTCGTGTATTTATTTTGGTGTGTATATAGAACACGTAAGATCTATTCTTTTACCAGTTTTCAGTGTAATGTGCTGTTATTAAGTGTAGTCGCTGTGCATAGAGTCGAACTCCAGAATTTATTCCTTTCATCCAGCTGAAACTTTGGGCCTTTTAATCCACATCTCCCCTTCTCTCTGCCCCTAGCTCTTGCCATCAACCCCCCTACTCTCTGCCTGTGTGGGTTTGACTGCCAGATTCTATGTGTCAGTAGATGATGGAGCGTTTATCTTGTGGACCTACTGTTATTTCTTGAGAAACCTCTGTGCTGTTTTTCTACAGTGGCTGTGATGACCTTTGATTTGAAGTTATAATTTCTAGGTTCCAATCTTAGCTCTGCTGCTTCTTTAGCTGACTCACTTAATTCTGCGCTCTTGCTTTTCGGACCCGTAACAGGAAGACCATGCTGATGACTCACTATCCACATCCATTATTTTGAAGAAGATGACATGGAAAAATCCAATGGTGACAGCGATGAGGAAGCATGAGTCACCTGGAAAGAGAGTGGATGAGACCCTCTGCTGTCTCCCAAGAACCAGGGCACAGCCACAGCCACAGTGCCCATGGGGAGAGGCCTGGAAACCCAGGTCCCCGCCAAGCAGGCCCCCTGGCCATTTGTCTTTAGGCTGCTTCACACTGGCTGCTGGTGTTAGCAAAGATCTGTGCTGTGTGATTGGAGAGACCATTAGAAGTCCCCAAATACCAATCCTCTGCCCCATCCCAGAATTCCCACTCTTAGTCAGTGCAAGTTGAGGCCATTGATTCTCAGCCAGCGTTGTACTTTGGAATCACAGGGCACAGCTAAAATGTGTGAAACCAGTGCTAACCTTGGAGATTGTGGCATTATTTGTGTAGGAGGGGCCCTAGCAATTGGCATCTTTCAGAGGACCCTAGTGCGTAGACAGAGTTAGATCCGTTGCATTGGTATGCAGATGCCTCCACCAGGCACATTGATATTTGGATCTGTCTGCCTGGTGCATGGTCAGAGGTTGAACAGCAGCCCTGGTCTCTGTCCACTAGATGGTCAGTGCCAATGCCCCAGTTGTGACCGTTAACAAAGTCACTAGGGAAAATTGCCCATCTGAGAACCACTGAAGGTGATAACAAAGGGTGGAGGAGAGAGGACGCCCTGACCCTTGATGCTCATGCAGTCCAGGACCAGCATGGCCGGAGCACTGGTCAGAACCGCAGAACACCCTGCCAGCACCCCACCTGACTTGTCATAGTAAAAAGACCTGGTGCTGCGTGTGCGTCACCACAGGGAGACTGCCATGCCACCAGGGCCGGCTGTTTTCCCTGTAAACATTATTTACAGGATTAGTTTATTATTAAAATGGTGATTCCCCTCTGAATCCAGAAAACCATGCAGACTGTCAACATGAGAAACCTTGGAGAGGTCAGCTGCTCCTTCCACACAGGACGGTGGTGATGGCTTGAAGCTGAGCTTGTGGGGTGAGCGGCCAGGTGAGAGGCTGAGGTGCACCTAGAGGGGTCTCACTGGGAGGGTGGGGGGGGGTGGATGAGCAGAGCCCTGGACTGTCCTAGTCAGGGAGTGGGGCCAGCGAGTGGCTGCCATGCCAGAGACAGCTCTTCCCCACATCCTGCCCTCGGGCTGGCCAGGCTTCTGCTATGTGAACCAGGGGCTGTCCTCAGTGGATTATGGGTAACACAGAAATGTGAGTCAGACAGACCAGACACACCCTTCAGGACGCAATTGGTGGCCATAGCCACTGCAGGACTGCAAGGCCACCACCCTGCTTCTGGATGAGACCAGTTCTGGAGTCCTCCAGCCGCCCTTGGGGATATCAAGGTTGACCTTAAGAAGAGGGAAGTCAGGGAGGGGGGCATTGTGGAAATGGGGCACAGCATTAGGGACTGAGCTGGTGGCCCTGTGCGCCGGAGTCAACCAACACCTCCCCTGCCCATGTCCCTGTCCCTTCTCTGCCTTGCCTGCCTCCATGGCTTTCACTGGGTGACTTGCTAGTGGGCTGCAGTGCTGTCTGTCCCCTCTGCTGGCTCCAAGGGCCATGAAGACAGGGTCTTTGACTCTGAATCCCCAGGGTGGCCTGGGCCACACTCCGGCCCCATAGTTATTTGTGGAGTGGCGAGTGAATGAGCGCACATGCAAGTAAGAATCTGGTTTATTGCAGTGAGGACCGAAGGAACCACCTCTGACAGTTTGACCCATGCAAATTCACCTGCTTTTCCCAGTGCCTTGGAGTTTCCCCAGTGAAGACCAAGAGGCGTTCCCATTCTTGGGGGCTGTTGCTCTGGATGGGATCGTTCTCTCTCTTTCAAAGACACCAAAACTCTGCTTGTGTGAAAACCTATTTCTCTGAGAGTTCAGCTTATCAAACAAACATGCTCATTCATAGTTCAGTCATTCATACGTCTGATTAAAGAGTTCTTTCCAAGTACTGACCATCTGCCAGGGGACATGCTAAGTGCTGGGGAAGGTAACCAGCACTGTGACTGTCACGTACACTGCCCATGGTCACAGGAGCTGGGGTTAACACCCCATGTTGACAGGGAGTATGGTCAGAGTGCCACCCCACCCCCGTCAGAGATGTGCTCCCTGGGAGCCCACGAAGAGCAGGCCTGAGACTTGGCATCCGAGCCCCTTTGGAAGGGTGCAGAGACACGCATCATGGACAAAGCAGGTCGGGCTGCCCACATCAGGAATCCCGAGAGAGACGCTCCCAGGGAAAGACGGAGACGGGGGCCCTCCTCCTGGAGGGACAGGCGAGTTCATTCCAAGTGTCCTTCTGCTGGCACAGGTGGGAGCCTCAGCGGGCACGGGGACATGGGTGGGGAGAACAGCAGCTCTCTGGGAAAGAAGTCGACACGCTCTTGCTCAGTGTGTGTGACATGGGACAGAGGAGGCTGGACACCTGAGGGATTTTCGGGAAGCAGGTTTATTGACTGCAGGGTTCAGAGGTGGCTCTTGCGTAAGAGTTCTTCTCAACGATGAGTGCAGAAATTCGTTGAACTTTACACCCAGTGTGTGGGGAAGGGGCTAGGAGGTTCACATGACAAGAGGGTTTCGTCCCATCCTCTCGACGACAGGGGATTCACAGTTTTTTCTGCAAACCTGGCATTTATAAACAGAGGAAGCTGCAAACCGGTGCCTTCTGCAGATTGTTGCTGAAAGCTAGTGTCCTGTGCCAAAAGCTCTCTGATAAGAAGAGGAAGTTACATGCCACAAATAGGGTGGGGGTCTGAACTCCAGGATCTGCTTATTATGGTAAGGTTTTCTGGGCCCGGGTCTCTGGCCTGCTTCATGTGATGCAGAAACAGATCTCAAGATACGCGTGTGCACACACATCCACACACCTAATTTGTTTACTGTCTGGAAACTGAAAAAGGTTTTACAAAGCTGCAGAAAACATAGGAAAACACTCACAAGCAGCCAGTCATGTTTTCTTCCAGGAACCAGTCACCATGCTGGATCCTGTGGTGACCATACCCACCGCCAGCTTCCCAGGAGGGTGCCAGTGGTCCGGGACCCCAGCCAGCACATCCACATCCTTAGGGTCCTGGCCTGGTGGAGATTTTCTTCCTACTTCAGGAGCACTGGGTGGCTTCCTGGAGGAGGTGAGGCCTGGCTGGCCTGGAGGAGGGGCATAGGGATGGGGTAGCATGAGAGGGAGGCTGGGGAAGGGCGGCACCTATACCTGGAGGAGGAGAGAAGAAGATGTAAAGGAAGGACCAGGAAATATTTTGATTTAAATTCCACATACTTTCTCAGGGCTGTTCTTCCCAAATTCTAGGAAATTTGTAAATCTTAATGTTGCCAAACAAATCACTTTTAGGATTAGTACCTTGAACTCAGTAAGGTAGCCCACCAACGAATAGGGGAAGCAAAGGGAGATAGGAGACTCTAAGACACCTCTAGTTTGGGGGACTTTCTAACATTATCTGCTCATCAGATAATGGAAACAACATCAGACCAAGGATCCTGAGAATGACCAGATCACCATGAACTGTCCCGTGAGCACCAGGCTGATGTCATCCCTATATACCACCCCATGCTCAGCCCTCGCCAGGCTTATTGTAGAAGAAGAGCTGGGAGCCCAAGTGTCTCACTCTCGAGATGGCTGTGTTCTCCCCCTGAACTCGTCTTCTTTGCCTTCCTCCAAGGCAGCGTCTCTTCAGGTAGCCAACATTCTCTCTTGAATATGCCTCCCTTTTCCTGAATCAATCAATCTCTGTGTCTTTGGTGCTTACTGAAGTTCTTCTCTCTCTCTCATAAGCCAAGGAGCCCCCTCGTGCTGAGGTGAGTCACGTCCCCACCCCTGGAACCCCCTGGACCATCTTTCAGTGACAGTTCTTCTCTGGTGACAGAACTTGCTAAAGAGGGCCCATGG